TTTTTTAATGTTTTGGCTAAGAATGCTATACCTACTATTCCTAATGTGCCTCTTTCAATCTCTTTAATAGCATGGGTTATATGGCCTTGTCAACATAAGTGTGTTTGTTATGAAAGGATGTCGTTAGATGTAGACGGTAAACTAGCATTTCTGTTTTTTTTTTGTTTTTTTTTTTGCTGGTACCACCGCTTCTCGTCGCATTACCCATTTGTGCTCCTTCCCCTTCCTCCCCCCCCCTGCTCCACCTTCCTCAATCCCCCCATTTCCCCCCTTCCTTCCCCTTCTCCCCCTTTCTTCCCTTCCCCCGCCCCTCCGTCCTCTATACGCCATTCCTTTCCAACAACTTCCACTCGAAGTGTTCTTGACTCTTTCTTTTTCCATAAAACACGAATAACACGCATGTTTCGAGCAAACGAATCTCTTCACATTTTTTTTTAATTACAATAATTTACACTGTACTGATACTGTATTTTTTTACTCTTCCTTCAGAATTCGCGTTATTGTCCTCGGACGAGATGCAGTCGTTGCGGAGGTGGCTTTCCGGTAATTGCTCACATCTTGCTAATTCTACGATTGAAGCCCTTTTTTCGGAAGGTTAGTAGATAAACATTTTTATTAGATATAAACATATATGTTTACACACACACACACACACACACACACACATACACACACACACACACACACACACACATATGTATATGTATGTATATGTGTATATGTTTATATATATGTATATGTATATATACACGAATATAATATAGGTATGCATGTAAATATGAATATATAAAATATATATACATGTGTACGTTTGTATGTTAGAAAATGCATTCCTCGATGCATATTTTTTTTTCTCAAGGGAAGTATTATTTTATTTCATTTTGGGTTTTACTGAACTCGCGTTGTCCGAGTTATGAGCTGAAGGCATGTGAGTATTAGTCAAAGCCATATAAACTTTTTTCCCCATGTAAGACGTACACTGGAAGAAAACGTTAACATGCAATGTACATTTACGTGTAGTAATTTAGCCGGTAGTCTTCGGTCATTTTTAAAATATTTCCGTAAAAGTTCCCACAAAGAAGACTTAAGTCAGAGCTTTGCCCTTGTTCCCGTCGCGACTGAGGGAAAAAAAGGACACAGGAGACGATTAGCGCTGATGACTCAAAAAAGACGACTCGAAAAGAACTGGTGCTCGATCTTTATTTTTTTCTAGAACCGATTTAGGCAATGCTTTCATTTTGCTTGCAAGAAGTAGAGGGAATCATGTGGAATGCAGTGTCATTTTGAACACATGATTAGAGCTTTTTTTAGTCCTCCATATACTCCTGTATGAATTAGTTCCTTCTAAATGTATATATTCATAAATGGATATTATGGTGATATGCAAAATATCCTGGTTCTTGATCAGCATGTGAGTCAGTATTGTCACATTCCAGAAACGGAAGACAAACAAAATAGATAACCTTGGATGAACTGCGCTCTCCGTATATCCTGTCACTCGGTAGTCACAGTAAATTCAGAATTATATCTTGTCTACATACAAGAAAGTTGTTTTGAAAATCCAACTTCATGGATAACGCAACCAAATTGCATAATCACAGAAAATGACCCTTTTTATGATTATAGGCTTAAATCATGCACAAACCTCCACCACTGTTTTAAGTAAAATACACAACACCGGAAGAACAAAAGCGAAGTGCTAATGATAAGGACGCTAGTAATAAATGTAGCAGTAACAGTAATGTGAATGATAATGGAAATAACAGCAATGATATTGATAATGATAATAGTAATGATAATAATAGTAATGATGGAAATATAAGTAATAACTATGATGATAATAGTAAATATAATGAAAATGATGATAAAGTTTATTAATATGATTCCTTGCGTATCTGCACATCACATTATAACGTCTTCAGGACATTCACAAGGATCTACAGCGGCCCTTCACAATTTCAAGAAAATATCACATTCGTAGTTCGTGTTCCATTTTATCAAACTGGCAAAATGATATTTTGTTATTTCGTTTCATCATATGGGATGTTGGACACACACATATATATGTGTGTGTGTGTCTATATACTATATATCGTATGCCTGTGATATCTAATGTTTAATGCTTTAAATAAATAAATGTGCTAGACATCAAAGGCCATATAGCACTTATAATATCTTCAAATGGTTATTTGAGGGTAAAAATTACCACGACACCTCTTACTAACATAAAAGAGCATTAAAGTACAAAAAGTGAAATTCAGAAGCATCTTTATAAGTCTGTAACTATTTTACACTTTACTCAAGGCTAACCACTAATATCTACGTATATATATCTATCTATCTATCTATCTATCTCTCTCTCTCTATATATATGTATATGTATATGTGTATATATAGAGAGAGAGAGGGAGAGAAAACGGCAGTTGTAAGAACAAGAACTAAAGTAACTAAAGCCATGTTTCTCACCACAGAATCTTAGCTCCTCAAATTACTGTTTTTT